ATAATTACCGTAAATGCAGAAAAATAAGAAACCGAGAATTTCGTGGTTTCACCCTTCAACTGTTATGGGGGCTAACGTCCAACGGGATAAAAACTCCCGAATAATTCTTCTACTAAAAATAGTAGGTACAAAAAGAGATTACAAAAATAGTAGCACACAAGTATTTCCGCAAAACACCCCAAAAATAAATTTCCTCACTATTTTCTCTCTTTCCAATTTTTAGGAACCCTTCCTAAAATTTTCTTACAGACACCTAAATGTAATATAATTGCTTCTTATGTTTTTGTACGTTAAATTGAAGAAAACTTCTCCTATTTATAGGAGAAGTGGATGCCTTAATGGATGGCGTTTGCGCATCAACTTGCGCAATCAACGCATCCATTTTCATTTTTAGGTACAACTGCCTTTGATTTTTTTTTTCTTTAAACAACACGTGTTTTTCTCCTTTTATTTTTTTTCTTCATTCAAACGTGTGTGGGTCCCACACGTTTGAATCTTCCTTTTTTTTTCTTTCTTTCAAACTTGTGTGGGTCCCACATGTAGGAGGGACCCCACAACATTGACGTGGATGCAAAGCAGAGCATATCTGGAAATTTTCAGAAAAACTTTTTGTAGAAGAAATTTTTGAGGGAAGTTTTAGAATTATTTGATATATTAATAAATAAATAAAACATAAAATAGACATCAACTAATTAGGATCAGCATATAAATTTTTTTTGTCCCTGTTCTATTACGTACATAATTATATAAAAATACAGATCATTAACGATGATAATTTTCCTCCAAATAGTTTTACACAACAACTTTTCTTTTTAGCATTCTCGGATCTCCACTCTCGGTATTTACGAACAAAGATATGTGGGGATCTATATAACATTATGGTACCATCTTAGTTGTTATTCTCCCACTTCATCTCTAAATGATGAAAAATAAAAAAATTGCTCAAGGAACCACTTGTAATGGTACTTTTTAACATTTTTTTAACTTTGAATAAAAATAAAAATAAAAACTTTTACCTGTCATTGTTTATGGTTATTTCTACTTCAGCAATTTTGAAAGCAAGAAAAATTAAAAAAAAAAAAAAATCTCAAACACCACCACTGATGTATCTTAAGCATTACAAAAAAAAAAAAAAATCTCAAACACCACCACTGATGTATCTTAAGCATTACATTGTCTTTATTAATTTTTGAATGCAGTTTTTTTTTTTTTAAAAAAAAAAAAAACATTACTCCAGAAACTCTCATTGTCAATGGTAGTTTCTTGAGCGTTAATTTCTTGATGGATAAAATATAATTGGATTTTAAATTATATTTTAATTAATACTTTGGTCTCTCCATTTTTGAAAAATTATTATAATGTCCTTAACATTTGCTTAAACACATGTTAGAGTCTTTCCAATAAAAAAAAAAAATCAAAATTTTTCATTCAAAATATGAGCATATTTTCATCCAAAAAGTGTTTTGACTAATGGTAAATGTATTGACTTTTTGGACAAAAGGACCTGACATTTGAATAAAAGTTAGTAATTTTTGAAAAACTGAAAGTATTAATTAGAATATAATTTAGAGACCCAAGTATGTTTTATTTTTTCTTTATTTTTTCAACGAACTAAAAATTGAAAAAAAAAAAAAAGCTCAAGATCTTTAAATTGTATTAATTTTGGGTTAGATCCAGTTCAAAATCAAAATTTCCAACGAGCAGTTTTAATTTGAGCTTAAGACATATCTTATTTTTTTATGAGACTTAATTTCACTTCACATAGTTAATGATTTTGTCTTTCTAACATAGCAAACATGTCTCATTGTCCCTCAGTTTTCTTGGCATAACAATTTATGAGAGCAATACTAAATGACTCAAGTTGAGTCTGACTCGATTAGAATATCTATAAATAGAATGACCATAATACCCTTAATAACTTTTTATTTGGTTAGATGAAAGATATTAAATTTGAGTTTGAAACTCTCTCTCTATCTCTCCTATTTTAATGATAGAAATCTGACAAAACTTCAGGCCGCAAATAAAGTGCTTTAATATAATTTGGCCAAATATTCTCCCATTTAACAAATGTAGACCTTTCAAGTAACAGTTTATTCGGAGAACTACCTAAAGAAATAATAAAATTAGTTGATTTAGTGGTTTTGAACTTGTCAAGAAACCATATTAACAGGAAAATTCTAAAGAGTATTTCAGAATTACACCAGTTGTTATCACTTAGTCTCTTAGATAATAGACTCTCAGGTGAAATTCCGGCAAGCATGTCTTCAATGACGCCTTTAACGCATCTCAATGTGTCAAACAACAACTTGTCAGGTGTAATACCTTACACAAATCAGATGACAACTTTTGATGCATCCTATTTTGATAGAAACCTAGGTCTATGTGGAGGTCTTTCTCCATAAAGTGTTCACATGATGATTCAAGGACAAGTGATTTGAAAAGTAAAAGAATTGTTGACTCTGATAATGGTGATGACTTGGTTGATAAATGGTTTTACTTGGCGTGGGATTGTGATTTACTGTGGTTTTATTGGTTCCTTTTCTGATTTTTGCAATCAAAATAGGTGTTTCAAATACAATTTATTTTTATTTCTCAGCAATTAAAGTTGTAGAGGCTGTACACAACTTGAGCCAAATATTTTTATTAAATTTATAAACTCAATTATGAAAAGAATAATGTTAAATGGCTGAAGTTGAGCTTGGTACAATTAGAATCTCTATAGAAGGAATGTTCATGATGTCCTTAACAATTTTTTATTTGACTAGATGAGAGATACTGAATTTGAATTTAAAACTTACACTTTCTCTCTTACTTTAATGATGAGAATCTGATAAAATTTCAGACTCCACGTGAAAGTGCTTCAATATAATTTAGCCAAATACTCTCCCATCACTTAGATGCCTAACCCCCAAAATGTTTTCCTCCAAAACGTGCAAGACCTTTGTTTACCTAGTCTGAGTGAGTTCCTCTTCCTCAAATTAGGATTTAACGTAATTGGGAGCACTCAATAAGTTATTAAATGCTGGCTGTAAAATTGCAAGGGGACTTATCATCGGTTTGCAGAAATCAGTTAAAAATATCTGTTATCGAAGAATTTAAAGTTAAAGAATTTAAATTTAAAGAAGAAAAACTATAACGTAATTGAATCAACATTGACTTTTATACTTGGCTTGTTTAGACTGTGAGAATTAAATCAAGAAGTTGGAAATTCTATTTGATTTTTTCTTTTAATTTTATACTCCTTCTGTCCCTTGTTTGCTTATTATTCCTTTTTGGATGTCACAAAATGTGTATAAGATTTCTAAATTTGTATATTTAAACAATTATTTTTCCATAATAACCTTTATCTAAATTTGTATATTTAAACAATAATTTCCATAATAACCTTTAATGATTGTTTTTGTTTGCTTATTATTCCTTTTTGGATGTCACAAAATGTGTATAAGATTTCTAAATTTGTATATTTAAACAATTATTTTTCCATAATAACCTTTATGATTGTTCATTAAAAAAGATAAAATAATTTTTATTGACTAAATTCTTAATATGCGTGTTTTGTTAAATCATGTAAACAAAATGAGACGGAGAGAGTATATATTTTTCGACTAAATAAAGTAAGTTTGTTATTGTTACAAAAAAAGTAAGTTTTTGGTTATTACGATGTATGATGTGATATTGTTATTGGGTCAAAATTACAACTTAACGAGTCTTCCACTCTCTAGTGATTTTTGTTAGGTGGATTCTAGATTAGCGACAGATATTTTAGGATGGAGAGTGGAGATGGTGCCGTATCAAACACTTTGAGATAGGTAACAATTTGTTTTACTACTTTCTTTTTTCAAAAAATAGAATAACTTTAACAATATCATACCAGTTTTCAAGTGGTTACTTGATGTTGCGCATCGAAAGATCAAGACCTCATTGTTCCTCTCCTCTTCATCTTCAGCTAATCATTGCCTTCCTTTTGGTCATTTTAGGATGCTGGTAGGATTGGAAAGGAAGATGCATAAGCAAAAGGCTTACATGTGTTGGGGAAAAATATTTTAGGGCTAGGCATCGAGTGATGGGAGATTATTTAGCCAAACTTTATTGAAACACATTATTTGTGGCGTTGTTTTGTCATATTCTTCTCATCATTAAAGTAGGAGATAGGGTATAAGTTTTAAATTTAAATTTAGTATTTTGATTTGATCAAATAAAAAATTATTAAGGTCATCATGAACATTCCATGTATAGAGATTTTTATTGTTCTAGACAAAACTGGCTAAATTATTAAAAAAACTCAAATTTTGCAGGTAATTTTAATTGTATCGATTTTTTCTCTTAGTACACTGAATTTCAATTTTATATACAATAGCATCCTAATTTTAAATTGTATCAAATTTAATGAATAAAATATCATTTTTCATTGAACGTATATGATCAGATTAATAAAAAACACACCATTTGATGACACTCTAACTAATATTGTTTAGGATTTTTTTTTTAAAATTCATAAAAAGCCAAGTGAAATAATAAATTTTAATTAGTTATAAGCATAAAATATTAGTTTAGGTTTTTATTTTGCCATTTTTTAAGCATGAAATTTTAGTTAGGGTTATATTGAAATTATACTTAATTTAGATCTCTCATAAAAATATATTTTATTCGTTACGATATAATTTTTTATTTATAGCAAATCATTACTCGTTATTAATATTATTATATAAATAAATAAAAAGTATTTTATTTTTAAGATGAATATATTATTTTTTATTTTAATATTGGATAAAATTTAAAAATAATATTTGTTTGGAAGCAATTGAATAATATTTTATTTATTAAATTAGACACAATTGAAACTAGAGTGTTACTATAACTAAATTAAAATTCAGAGCAGTAGGAGACAAAAAAAATAAATTTACGGTATAATTAAAACTATATGTAAAGTTTAAAGTTTTTTAATGATTTAGTCAACATAAACTAGAAAAAAAAGAGTAACTGATTAAATTTCAGTTCCTCCTATTACAATTATCACCGTTGTGGCTGTAACTAAATCAAAAAATCTCATTCATCGATATGATTTGCTCAAAGACACAAATAATCACTCAAATGCGTTCAACTTGTGAAAAACTGAAATCTTCACTCAATTTGCAACTCAAAATGAAGCTTCCGGACCAAAATCACTTGTCAACGACCGATGGAGCCGTGGCCTGTTCCGTATCCCATTGCCATGGCGGTCGTCGGTTTCTGACCTCGACCATACTTATAAGTGTGTCTCTTCCCCAGGAGCTCATTGGTACATTACGCTCTCTAACTCTTCCTAGTTTCTCACCTTAACTTTTTAATGTTCTTCTCCGGCGAGTTTCTCGCCAAAATAAGGCGTGGGAGTGGTTTTTACGAGTTTATAAGGACTGTGATGTGATTGGTGCCAGGAGTTGCAGACAATGGAGGTGGGAATTTGGGTGATTTTTCTCTCTATGTATTGCAGTTTTTCTGTTTAAATTTTTCTCTCCTTATATGAAACGTTAGGAAAGTGGGAAAACCTTTCTTCTTGTCCATACTCAATCAACTCAGCTTACTCTCCGCCACCGTCGTTCCCTTTCTACAGAAATGAGCTATTTATAAAATAAGCTTCAAATTACCATGAGAAGTATCTCTAGCTTTAATAGAATAGGGAGTGCTATTATACATTAGTTGGATTGAAGAGTACTTAGTTAGTGATTATCATTTCTACTAAAAAATTGATAGGAACATTTAAAAAAAAAAATCATAATTTATGAATACAAATATTTGTGGTATTATTTCATTTGTTTAAATCTGTGGCTGTTTAATTTATATTAGAATATAATCCTGCAATCACATTTCTGGTTATCTCAAGCTACTGCTCTGATCAGGCTTGTGGGAGAAAAGAGGCAGCCAGGTACATGCTATGGATTAGGCTAAGTCGGGCCTGCAGAGTGACAGAATTTTTTGAGAGATTGGAGAAGGATATCAGGATCAATTACCTTTTCACTAGGATTGTAAAACTTCTTGTTGTTGAACTCTATTGCACACATACAGCTGCCTGCGTATTTTACTATCTTGCTACTACTTTGCCTCCTTCTGAGGAAGGTTCCACATGGATAGGAAGTTTACAGATGGGTGACTATCACTATTTAAACTTTAGGGAAATTGATCTCTGGAAACGTTATGTAACATCACTCTATTTTGCAATTGTTACCATGGCAACTGTTGGTAAGTTCATATGTTGGTTGAATCCCATTTTATTCTTGTCTATTAGAAGTCAATGATGGGTTACTTCTTGAAGGCTGGATGCTGAGGTTATGTGCTTTTCTTCTGCAGGATATGGAGAAATACATGCAGTTAATGTCAGGGAAATGATTTTTGTCATGATTTATGTATCCTTTGACATGATTCTTGGTGCTTATCTGCTTGGTAACATGACTGCATTGATTGTAAAAGGATCAAAGACAGAAAAATTCAGAGATAAAATGACTGAGCTCATCAAATATATGAATACAAATAATCTAGAAAAGAGCATAAGTAATGAGATCAAAGGTCATCTAAGATTACAATATGATCGCAGCTACACTGAAGCTGCTATGCTTCAGGATATTCCAGTTTCTATTCGCGCGAAGGTATTGATAATGCCTGATGTAGTTCAGTTTGTTAGCAGATAGACAATTATTTTCTTATGTGGTTTGACTTTTTTCTGATATTTTCTGTTATCAAATTGATATAGTACCCTAGGTTCTGACAACCTAAATACTTAAAAATTCAACTAAACTCCAAATATGCCTTCTAGATGCTAGGCTGCAGCATTATGTAGTAAATAAAATTAGAAAATTGCTAACTACGCATACTAAAATATAAAATATCTTTGACAACTCTAGTGCAACATAAATTACTTGTTAAGTTTTCTGTTACTGGTAGAAATATGAGTTGATAACTGTGGTGAGATAGAGACTTCCAAATCTGGTCGTTCCTCTACCTTTACGCCTTCTTTTAACCCTCTATCTCTATCAACTCTCTGATCTATGTTCCTTATGTAGTAATATTAAAGAAAAGAAAAATGGTTGTCGTGACATCAGAATATGATAATTACAATTTCAAGTCCAGAAATCCATTGACCTGCTCATTGTAGTTGATAAAGCCATTTTGGAAGAAAAGCTATGTAAAAAACCATAAAGAGCACGTGTAGGATAGCATTGGAGATTGCTAAGCGGCCAAGTGAGCTCAACAGAGTGTGAAGAAGTTGGAGTTAATGGTAAAGCATTTTCTACTTAATGATTGTAAAGGCCGAGTTTTCTCCAACTGGGGTTAAGACACAGTATTATTTTGGATACATGTAGAGATGAATATTTTTATCTACTAGGAAATTTCCATGAGTCTATGAACACCAATATAACCTTTAGGACTTCTCTTAAAATTCGACTATTTGCTTTTAGGTTGATGGCATGAATATCAATTTTGCTTTATGAGAAGATTATACACTATATAGCTGGGGGAATGCAGTAGACCATGAATGGTTCATACAGTGGCTTTTTGCATAGTTGGATTAGTTATTGTATCTCCTGGTGTTTAGCAATTCTCTCTCTCTGTTTTGCTTCTTGAGGTTGTATATGTTTTATTCTTTTGATGAGTTGAAGTTCCAACTTCATCTGTACACATTTATGCTTGGTCGCATGTTTAACACATTTTTCATCTTTGCAGATTTCGCAGAAATTATATGAACCTTATATTAAAGAAGTTCCTCTTTTTAAGGGATGCTCTTTGGGATTTATTAAGCAGATTGTAAGATGTTCAATTACATACCTAAATAGATTTTAATGTCGAATGTTTAAGCTCTTTTCTGTGTCAATCTCTATAGGAATTTCGTTTATGTTATTGTCAGTGCCAGGCATAATATTTCCGTGGCAGAGACTTCTGCTTTGACTTTCTGCCGTAATTATTAGCACTATTGTTAGAAAAAAGCTTTTATTTGTCATGATGGAAATTAAAGTATATTGTTTCTCTCCCATTAATTGAATTAAATATATTCAAAAATATATATTGTGCTGAAATTTGTTAAAGATTCCAGTGGTTGTTTTCTTTCTTTATTTCTTTTTTTTTTTCCTGCTAAGTAATTGATTCAAAATGCTCATAGAAATACTGTACGTGAAAATCTCTATCTTCAAGAGAACAATGAGGAGAAGGAAAAAAAAAAAAAAAAAAAAAAAAGTGAAAATCTCTATTTCAGAGAACAATGAGGAGAAGGAAAAAAAAAAAAAAAAAAAGAAAACAAAGTAAGAAGCAATCAATATTGTTTCTCGACCTTCAAATAGTCTTATTTGAAGAAAAAAAAAAAAAAAAAGAAAACAAAGTAAGAAAGCAATCAATATTTTCTGCGACCTTCATGTCTTATTTGTGCACACTTTTCCACTTAGAGACATTGTTTGAATTAAACTGCAAAACTAGTTGTTTTGATAGGGAATAAAAAGATTACTCCTTACTGAATAAAATTTGATAGTAGAAAAAAATAAGGTTGAGAGTGTGATGCAGGAATTGGCAACTTCAGTAAATTACAGGAGTTTAGGATTTCGGAGTACGCTTCAAGGCACTTCTGAGGAAGGTCTCAAGGAGTTTCTGTAATATTAATCAAATAGAGCTATTATTTTAGACTTGGTTTTATTTCTTGCTTTTTTTGGTTAATGATAAAATAAATCCAAACCTTTACTCAAATATGCAATTGCGATCAATTCTTTGGATCATTTTATATAGACAACTTTTCACATTAGTGTAAACTGCAGCCAAATCTAGAAGATCTTATCATAAAATTCTCAAATTGCTAACTTAGCATATATTTCATTAAAAGACCTTTTGTTTTAGCATCTTATATGGTACATTAAGTTTAAAAACCTACAAAAGTAGTACTATTATTATTTAACGCTATATATATAAATATATTTCGTCCTCTCTTTCTAGTCTCTTTCACTCCCTCCACCTCTTCCTTACCCCTTCCCTTAAATATGTTTTATGTGAAATTTTTATGAATGAAAATGCATGATTGACCATAAATTGCAAATTGTATCAAAGGTTTGGATTTTTTTCTTTTATTCATCAACCCTTTTATTTTTGGCTATTAATGGAGGATATCTTATCCTCCGTTTTAACAGGCTCAGACTTCTATTTGAAGATATTAAAGTTATTATAGTTTTGTAATGCTTGGAGTATCATTTTTCATGTGGTTTTAGAAAATCTGTAACTATAATCTAAAATGAAGTTTTTAATTATGGGGATTATGCAATATTCAACAGTTCATTGATACCATGCTATCAAATTGAAGGCTTCATTCTGTCTTTCCCTCATTCTGTTTTCCTCCCCACCAAGTCGGTGTTTTCAGTGTTCCTTAGTTTATGACATTTGGCATAACTTCTCTTGGAACATTTTGGGTTCTATAGTTGTTCAATGACATAATTCTCAATTGTTTAATTTCCACAAACGCTTATAATTCTATAGCTGTTCCATAACATGGTTCTCGTTTGTTTAATTTCCACAAACATGTGCGCTACATGCATATGTATAGGTGACCTTGATTATTTAGGTAAATATTCCATATATTTTACATGATGAACTACTGTTTCAACTATCTTCTTTATGTTATGTCTCTTCATTATTCTAATAATATAATAACATGCTTCCTTGAACAACTCCTTTCAAGTTATTTATTTTTATCATGTTGAATCTACAATTCTTTATCTTCAATCTACCAAGGAATTGATATCATAATGCTAAAAGTATGGCTTCGATCCAAGTTTGGAAAGATTCTTATCTACCCTTTTGGTCTATTAGGGAATCAAGGTCCATGAAGAATTTTTTCTTCCTGGAGAAGTAATTATAGAACAGGGTCATGTGGCAGATCAACTTTACGTTGTTTGTCATGGTAAATTGATCATGGTAATACTTCATCTTGTTGGCTTATATTTCCTCAGCTGTTATATATTGAAAGCATCATTGCTATTTACTATTGATATGTGCTTAATTACTCAGTTCTAATGTAGCCTTGAAACGTGCCTTCAATCTAAGATTGAATGTCACTGAGCTTATTTGTGAGGCATGATTACAAATTCCCAACTTTTAGCATGTATTTTAACTGTAGCATAAACTTTATTTTTTAACACAAAAATACTAAATCTAATAAATTAAAATAAATGTTAGCTTCTGTCTCAATTTTGGTCAACCTAAGGTGGATTTTGCTAATGTGAATTATTTTTTTAGCAAAAATCCAGCTAAGATTAGAGCTTTATTTAGCTAGCAAAATATGCTAATTGCATTGCTCAACCCTTGTATGAGGGTTTGATGGGAGGAAAGGGAAAGGATTGGAGACTTGGAGGTAGATCACAAGTTTAGCATACTTTGTTGGACTGACAAGGTTTGAATCCTGCTGGATTTTTTTTTTTTTTTCATTTAAAAAATAATCTACATCAGCAAATTCCTATTTAAATTGACTGCAACTGAGTTTGAGGCTGGAATTGAAAGTAATTTATTAGATTCAGTAATCTTTGTTAAAAATTAAAGGTTGTGCTACAATTGAAAAGCATATTGAAGGTTGGTAAGTTTTTTAAGAAATTAAGCCTATTTGTGATTACATTTGGCCACAATGACTTTTATCATACTCTTGTGAATGTCTGTGATATTCAGCTCATGAATTCAATCATGTCGACAACCTAAGCAATAAATTCCCAATCATAATGAATCAGTATCATCAAGCTTTCTAATATATGCATGCGTTAGAGACATTTAAATTTATGTGTTCTTGCCAGTTAATATTCCCAAGCGATTTATATATTGGATGCAGTTGACATTCCATGCATATTAGCAAAAATATGTAGTACCGAATTTCTCTTGATATTATTATCTTATTGAACAAGAAAAATATAAGAAACAGATTTAGTTCATTTTTTAAACTATAATAATAACATCTTTGTGCCATGAAGAAAATAAATATATTCAACAGATATGTTGTAAGTTCTTACTGATTCTGGAAGACTTATTAGATTGTTCGATTAAACATTATCCATAGGAGGAAGTTGGAAAAGGAGAAAATGATGAGATTGAAGAGTTTCCTATGCGTCTGCAAACCTATAGTTCATTTGGTGAAGTTTCTTTTCTTTGCAACACTCCTCAGCCATATACAATTCGAGTTCGGGAACTCTGCAGGGTTTTGCGACTTGATAAACAATCATTTATAGAGATCCTTGAGATATACTTCTCTGATGGACGAATAATGTTGAATAACCTGCTTGAGGTGATTTCTCTTGATAACATTACTCCTCATCTTTCTCCTGCTTCCTTTGATATTTATTAAAAACAATTAATTGGTAAGCACTTCTACATGTTATGGTCAGTTTACTGGTGTGGGGGTTTGATAAAGCCTTTGAAATCAAACCCCTTTTTGGTTAGAAATCTTGAACTAGATAAGTCAATTTCATTTCATCCACTGTTTGACTGACAGGGAAAGGACTCCAATCTACAGAAGGAAATATTGGAGTCAGATGTCACTCTTTACATTGAAAAGTCTGAATCAGTTCTTGTTACAAGATTAAATTGTGCTGTATATGACGGAGATTTTTATCATCTGAAACGTTTGATTAGAGCAGGAGCGAATCCTAACAAGACAGATTATGATGGAAGGTCACCTTTGGTATGATTTCTATATAAGCTAATCATAAGTACTACTGCAAAATTAAGCAATAGGCATTCTGTTTGCCACTTCTTATCAAGATTAAACTATTACATTTTCTTTTAGTTGCTAAGGATCTACGGTCTCTGGATGTTAGTGAGGATATAACTACAAATAGAATAGAATGGAAGCTAAAGATTCATATAGTAGACCCTATTTAGTTGTTGTTGCTTATTTCATGATTTGTTCTATTTATTAATGTACCAAAAATGATTTTAAAATTCCTCTTCAAAGTTTTTTACAAAATGTATTTCAATTTTTTTTTTCCGACTTATATTTTGCTTTTCATTGTTTTTAACGTAATCAGAGTGGATATTTGAAACAAATGATTCATATGACCCCAATTAGTTTGGAACAAAGGCTTGGTTGTTGTTGTATTTTCTTTTAATTATTATCTTGATATTTTTAACTGTTTGAGAGATTATTATTCACTGAAGAAACAGATTGTTTTTGCTTTAGGAATGTGTTGCCAAAATTTGCAATTGTTTTTTCCTTCTCTTAACTTGCTTTCCTAATAACGTATACTGGAAAAATAAGAGTAAGTATCCTTAACATGATTACCATGACGATTCCTGCTTTCATGATTATCTACATCTCTTTTGTGAACTTGTTTTCTGATTGTTTCTGTACTTTGTTTTTCTCACTTTTTCTATTTCTTTATTCTATTTACTGCAGTTAGCAAAGATTTTTTGTTTCTTATGAAGTTTACTGCAAATTTATTTTTAACATAGCTTGGACTGAAACATTGTAATTACTAAACTTAAATTACATAGAGCACATAACTAGTGTTTTGCTTTTTTGTGGTTGCACCAGTTAGTACTTTTTGTTTAAATGTCATTGAACTATCTATCGAACATAGAAATTACCATTATAAAATGTTGGATCCATTTGTTAAATTGCTTGATTTATTGATTTTGAAAGGACTGCTGATTTGAAATCTTTTAATTTTCCATAAATTAGAATGCTACGAGTACAATGGAGCTCACTGATTGTTTGTAAGTTAGTAAGTTTGACATTCAAAGTCTACTAGAGATGATTTTTGGTCAAATGTGTCCTTTATTTTGAGGTGGAGCTGAGAGCTCCTATGTGTGCTTACAAAGAATTAATTTGTTGATGGACATTTGGGACAGAAAATTATAAGAAACAATGAATAAAGCTCAATATGAATCCAGTTTCTTTAGATTATGTCTTTCCCTCTGCACAAGGTATAAAACTAATTCTTTTATGGCAGACCTAAAATTATTTTACTTTGCACAGCACATTGCTGCATCTAAAGGATATGAAGATATAACACATCTTCTAATTGACCATGGAGTGGATGTCAACCTGTCAGGTAATCTTCTTATATGATTTATTGTTGGTTGTATCCTCATGAACTATATAACTATTCTCCTGTGATATCTTTTACTCTAAACAAAGCTAGTGACACATTTGATTTAATTTCTGTCGATCAGATAAGTTTGGAAACACTCCCTTGCTTGAAGCTCTCAGGAATGGGCATGATGAAGTAGCTTCCTTGCTAGTTAGAGCAGGGGCAACACTGGCAATTGATGATGCTGGTGGTTTTCTTTGTATGACAGTTGCAAAGAGAGATTTGGGTCTCTTGAAAAGGGCTTTGGTGAATGGAGTTAATCCAAACGCCAAAAATTTTGATTTCCGAACACCACTTCACATTGCTGCCTCAGAAGGATTGTACCCAATGGCAAGTTTACTTCTAGAAGCAGGAGCAAGTGTTTTGGCAAAGGATAGGTAAAATCTAAATTTAGCTTGTCATTTTGGTTGTTCTGTTGAATGTTTTATGATTGCAATTTATGACTTTGATATGGTTGGGATATTGTTTCTAAGTGAACATGTTACATATAAGAGAAAGGGTAGAAATGAAGCAGGAGCAAGTGTTTTGGCAAAGGATAGGTAAAATCTAAATTTAGCTTGTCATTTTGGTTGTTCTGTTGAATGTTTTATGATTGCAATTTATGACTTTGATATGGTTGGGATATTGTTTCTAAGTGAACATGTTACATATAAGAGAAAGGGTAGAAATGTACTTAGAAATTAATGTAGCTAAGAGACAAAAATAGTTAGTTAGAATATTCCTATAGTACTAGACACAGCTGATGTGACAGCTATTGTCCTTTGTTCTATCCTATATGTATATGTCTCATTAGAGGCAAGAGCATCCAATTCTCAATTCAGTTTAATACAATCAATTTCCTCTCTTCTCTCTCTCTTCTCTCCTCTCTTCTTCTCTCTCTCTTCTCTTCTCTTCTTCTTTTCTTTCTCTCTCTCTCTCTCTCTCTCTTCTTTTCTTCTCCTATTATGCTCTATCTTTCTATTCTCAGACCTGCTGCATCTCTACCTACCTATTTTACTCAAATAGTTAAATATTCCTAACAACTGGTATACGTCTCATTAGAGGCAAGAGCATCCAATTCAGTAGTACAATCAATTCCTTTCTCTCTCTCTCTCTCTCTCTCTCTCTCTCTCTCTCACTTCTGTCATTCTCTTCTTTTCTTCTCCGACTAATCTCTATCTTTCAATTCTCAGACCTGCTGCATCTCTACCTACCTATTTTACTCAAATAGTTAGGAATATTCCTAACAACTGGTATCAGAGCAGCACGGTTGCTGGAAACTATGAGTAAATCCACTGCCTCTAAGAAGAACAAGGGAACCTCATCTGAGGGCATTCCTGTATCCTTTGAAGAACTGGAAGACCAGCTCCACTCTCTCAACTCCAAACTGGAGGAGCAAGGCATGGATCTATTGAATCTCAGCTAGAGGAACATCACCTCACAGTGGAGAAACTGTTACAAAAGCAAAATAGTATGAGGCTGGAACAAAAGAAAGCACAATCATCTCATGAAGAGCTTATGCAAGAGAACTAGAAATCAGTGGCTTACTTGGCTAAGTTGATTCAAGGTAATCCCTCATTCTCTACCTCTTTTTCTCCTGGAGGTCCCTTCTCACAACCTGGCAGTAGCAGAGGTAGGGAATACTTAAACACAAACCCTGAATCCCCTAGAAATGATAAAGGGATCCTAAATAACTCAGGGGGTAGAGAATAGAATGAGTATGAACCACATGGGAGAACTTATTTTAATAAGCTACTCCCTATTTTCCTACTTGGGTTAGCAAGTGTAGGAAATATTTCGGAAACTTAATTATTTAATAAGTACTCCCCTATTTACTTAAACACAAACCCTGAATCCCCTAGAAATGATAAAGGGATCCTAAATAACTCAGGGGGTAGAGAATAGAATGAGTATGAACCACATGGGAGAACTTATTTTAATAAGCTACTCCCTATTTTCCTACTTGGGTTAGCAAGTGTAGGAAATATTTCCAGATTTTTGAGGTATCCAATGATAGGAGGGTAGAACTAGCAAGTTTATTTCTACGGGGTAGAGCTGAGATTTGGTTCCTTAATTGGACCAAGGGAAGAGATGCCCTAATATGGGAAGATTTTGCTAAGGCTATTTGCCAAAGATTTAGGGATCAAAAGGAAGATGTTGTGGAGGACATACAAAACATAAGGCAAACTGATACTGTTTGTGACTATCAAGACAGATTTGAGTCTCTTAAACTGAGAATGAAAAAGGTTTACGCCCTTCACCCTGAATCATATTACATCTCCTGCTTCATTGGGGGACTGAAGGATGAAATAAGATCAGCTGTCAAAATGTTTAAACCCTCAAACCTATACACTGTTATTGAGCTTGCAAGGCTGGAAGAGTTACATTTAGCAGCTACCAAACCCAAACCTGTTTATAAACCTAAATCCACTTCTAAACCTTGTAACCCTTCAACCTATAATCATACCAGACCACCTAACAAACACAACCAAGACCAGCACAGATCCCAAAACAGCCAACCCATTTCCACCCAGCACACAGACAAAACAACCCATTCCCTTTAAAAAAAGACCACCTGGCACATGCTACCAGTGTGGTGACAAATATTTCCAAGGTCACCAATGTGCATCTAAGAAATTAATGGCAATACAGTCTCAAGAAGATGAAGTGGAGGAGGGATGGCATGAAGTGGAACCGCCTGAAAATGAACTCCAGAGGAAACATTAGAGAACATAGCCTATCCCTTAATGCTGTAGATGGGGGGCTTAGTGATAATACACTGAAATTGAAGGGTCAGTTACATGGTAAGCCAATCATGATCTTGATTGGCACAGAGAGTACACATAGCTTTCTAGATTCTAAGGTAGCCATAAAGTCTAAACTACATGTGTCCAAGGTAAAACCTGTGACTGTGACTGTGACAACAGCTGATGGGAGAAAATTGACTGTTTGTGAGAAATGCAATGGCTGTAAGTGGAACATGCAAGGGCATAAGTTTGAGGCTGACCTAAGGGTTTTAGGACTAGGAGATTATGATATGATATTGGGGGTTGATTGGATGAAATGTCACTCACTTGTGACCTTTGACTTTAAGGAAACTGTGCTGACTATACAGAAAGAGGGAAAGAAGCTTGAATTGAGAGGGTTGAGTAAGCAAGTCTCTATAAGAATGATGACCTCAAAGGCCTTAGGGAAACTAATGCAATATGGTTGGAAAGCGGTCACTGCTACACTATTTGTCATGAACTTAAACCCTCCCATTGAACAACACTCAGCCCCAGCCCAAATCCAACCATCACCTATGATTACTTCCTTACATAAATATGCACATCTCTTCCAACCACCTACTTCTTTACCCCCATCTAGAACTCATGATCACTCAATTCCCTTAAAACCAAACACTGAACCAGTCAACATCAGACCTTATAGATACTCTCACCACCAAAAAAAATGAAATTGAGAAGCTTGTATTTGAAATGCTTAATAGCTCTCTCATCCAACCAAGCACCATCCCCTTTGCTTCTCCTATGTTATTAGTTAAAAAGAAAGATGGGACTTGGAGATTTTATGTGGATTATAGGGAACTTAACAAGCATACTACGAAAAATAAGTTCCCTATACCCCTTATAGAGGACTTATTGGATGAATTACATGGGGCAACCATATTCTCTAAAATTGACTTAAGGACAGGCTACCATCAAATTAGAATGAGGGTAGAGGACATCCCAAAAACTGCATTTAGAACTCATTCAAGGCACTATGAATTCCTTGTCATGTCTTTTGGACTAACTAATGCACCAGCTACCTTTTAAGCCCCAATGAATTCCTTATTTCAGCTCTACCGCAGAAAGTTTGTGTTGGTTTTCTTTGATGATATTCTCATCAATCGTCCCACTCTTGAAGCCCATGTGCAGCGAACTTGTCTTTCAAGTATTCACTTCAAATCAAATGTTGGCTAAACAGTCTAAATGTGAGTTTAGGCAATCCCAAGTCAGTTACTTGGGTCACATTATCTCTGCTCAAGGTGTGTCTACTAACCCTAGTAAGGTGGAAGCTATGACTAATTGGCCTTTCACAAAAAATCTGAAAGGCCTTATATGGTTTCTTTGTCTTACTAGATACTATAGAAAGTTCATAGCGGGGTATGGGGTTATCTACAAACCACTTACTGACCTTCTCAAGAAAGATCAATTTAGCTGGAACCCTACTGCATAGGCTGCCTTTGACTAGCTCAAGCATTTCATGACACAGGCACTTGTTTTGGCTCTACCATACTTCACCCGACTTTTCATTATTGAATGTGATGCTAGTAACACTGTACTGGGGGCTGTTTTACTTCAACATAATAGACCTCTAGCCTACATATCAAAGCCTTCAAGTGTAAGGGCACAACAACTCTTAGCTTATGAAAGAGAGTTAATGGCTAAAATCTTGGCTGTAAGTCAATGGAGACGCTACTTAGAGTTGGGGCCCTTCATAACTAGAACTGATCAGGAAAGCATCAAACACTTATTAGAGCAGAGGTTGCACAACATCATCTAGCAGAAGGGAATCTCTAAATTTTTGGGATTGGATTATATAATCTAATACAAGAAAGGAACTGAAAACATAGTAGCTGATGCTCTCTCAAGGAGATTTGAAGGGGGTACTTCCTGCTTTGGCTTAATAGTATCCTCAATTACCCCAAAACGGCTACAGGAAGTTCTAAATTCCTATGAAGGCGATAAGGTATTGGCCCCTACTATTGCTGCTCTAACCATAAACCCTCAAGAAGTGCCTAATTTTTCCTTATCAAGGGGATTAGTGAGATAGAAAAGGAAAATATACATTGGAGCTACTATAGAGATCGGGTTGAGATTAATATCCCTATGGCATGAATCCCCTATTGGAGGCCATTCTGGGATCAGGGGCACATTGGCTCGACTACAACATTCCTACTGGCCAGGCATCTAGAAATCTGTCATTGAATGGGTCGTGCAGTGTGACACATGTAAAGGATGCAAGACGGAGTCCATTGCATATCCTGGTCTCCTTCAACCTCTCCCAACCCCCACCAAAGCCTATCAGTATATTCTATGGATTTCATAGGAAAAACTACCCAAATCACAAGGTTTTGACACTATCTTAGTTGTCATTGACAGGTTCACTAAGTCTGCCCATTTTATTCCCTTAACTCACCCATTCGATGCTTCAAAGATTGCTTATGTATTCCTAGATCTTGTATTTAAGCTCCATGACATGCCTGAGACAATAGTCTTTGATAGAGACAAGATATTCACTTGCAGCTTTTGGAAAGAACTCATGAAACTATTAGGGTAACAGCTACCGTTCAGCTCTTCACCATCCCCGACTTATGGCCAAACTAAGAGGCTCAACAGATGCATTGAATCATATCTGAGGTGTGTGAATTTTCAAAAGCCAAACCAGTGGAGCAAGTGGCTCAGTCTAGCTGAATATTTGTATAATACCACTCACCACAGTGCCATTACTATGAGTCCCTTCTAGGCTCTCTATGGGTACACTCCTACTCTACCAATCCTCCCTTCAGCTTCTACTTAAGTAGCATCAGTAGAAGATTTTCTTCAAGCTAGAGAAGCCATGACTCACTATCTTACGGAACATTTGGCTGCTACTAAGAATAAAATGAAGCAGTGTGCTGACAGGCACAGGTTAGATAGGGAATTTGCAATAAGGGACTAGGTTTACCTCAAAATTCAACCTAATAGACAAGCTACCTTAGCTCTTAGAAGATCTATCAAACTCACTGCAAAAGTATTATGGGCCATTTCAGATAGTAGACAAGATTGGCAAGGCAGCTTACAGGCTCAAGTTACCTCCTAATTGCATGATACACCCTGTGTTCCATGTTTCTCTACTCAAGAAAAAGATTGGGAACAATGCTACTCCCACCCTAGAGCTGCCTAAGCTAATTGATGGGGAATTTGTCATTACACTTGAAAAAGTGCTCAACACTCACATCATTTCAGTAGGAGACTCTTATGTTCAACAACTATTGATTAAGTGGGTGAACTTATCTGCTATAGATGCTACTTGGGAAGACAGCTCCTTCATTAAACAACAATTTCCCGAGTTTTTTTTCCCCAAGAATGCAGTCCCCGGGGGGGGGGGGGTTAATAAGACAAGACTACCTTTAGAACTCTTAGAAAGATCATATCAAACTCACTGACAAAGTATTATGAGGACCATTTACAGATAGATAGAACAGGAATTGAGCAAGGCAAGCTTACAGGACTCAAAGATTACTCCTAATTTGACAATAATAACACCCTAATAATGAATTCCCATGATTAATTCATACTACTCAAAAAAGAATTGGGAACAATGCATACTCCCACACCTGGAGCTGCCTAAAGACTAATTGATAGGGAAATTTGTTCATTACAATAATGGATAGAACTTCAACCTCAACATCATTTCAGGTAGGAGGACCTTATGATTCAACAAAAACTTATTTGATTAAGTAGGTTGAAACTATATCTGCTATAGAATGATATATCATGAGGAAGACGCTCCTTTCATTACAACAAATTCCACGGGTATTTTTTATTCCACCAAAAGAATGCCCATTTCCCCGGGGGGCGGGGGGGTTGCTATTGTTAACATAATATGAGAAGGGAGATAGAAATAGAATACTTAAGAAATATAAAAATAGTTAGTATGAATATTACCTAATAATAAGTACCAGACACAACTAAGAGATCATTGTGAACAGTATTAATTGTCCTTTATTCTTTTTTATTTTCCTTTAGATAATAAGTCATCGTTAGAGGCAAAGAGCATCCAATTCAGTAATACAATCAATTCCTTTTCTCTCTCTCTCTCAAACATACTCTCCTTCTCCTCCTACTCTTCTTCATTCTCTTCTTTTCTTTCCTAATATCTGCTCTAGCTTTCTAATTCTCAGACCTGCTGCATCTCTACATCCAATTCAGTAATACAATCAATTCCTTTTCTCTCTCTCTCTCTCTCTCTCTCTCTCTCTTCTGTCATTCTCTTCTTTTCTTCTCCTATTCTGCTCTAGCTTTCTATTCTCAGACCTGCTGCATCTCTACCTACCTATTTTAATCAAATAGTTAGGAATATTCCTAACAGAACATAAGGAATCTTATTGCTTGATACTAAATTGGTTAGAGACCTTACTCCCTAAATGATTGTTAGTTGGAAGAATTCACATCTTAATATTCTAACCGTTTCCTTTTTCATCTGTTGATACCACTATTATATTTTATTGGGGTGGGAATTAGCCACTGTCTGATGTCATTGAATTGACTAACTAGGTATTCTAAGAAATTGGCAAACATGCATAACATACTTAAGGTTCTGGTTTTTGTGGACAGAATCACTTGTAGGTGGTATGGGTATCTTAAAGTTTCATTTTAGAGTTAGCAAAATTTCATTGAGCAGAGTCAATGCAAAGCAGGTTGGACCAAGTTGATAGAATTAGGAATTTTCAGGAATTAAAGTAACTCAAGGATTTTATTCAAATAGGATTCTGATCAAACATGAATTTCCAATTCCAAAAGGAAATTATTTTAGCAGAACAAATAGGAATAGAACAAACAAATAACTAACTCAAAAGCTTAATAAAAACAACTAGCATGATCCCAATCACTGCTCCCAGGCTCTATAGCCAGATTACAAGAAGTAAAACTATTGATACCCTTACTTCTCTCTTTTCCCCGATTTATAGGGTTTACCTATCTCGTCACTTAAAACAATCAGTTGTTATCTTATAGTAAAACTCTCTAATTACTATGCTTATCTTCTTTAGCGAATATCATTTTGAACCGTTTCCCTTATTGCTGATGGGGGGGAATTTTCCTTCTCAATCTTTTTCTTCCTGTAGTAGACTCTAAGTTGACATGGGCTCTAAGTCACTGGAAATGCCTCTCATGGCATTATAATATATTCCATTGTGGTTCAACAAGAATAGCCTAGGGGTCATTGTATTTCCCAATTTCAGAAACTTCGAGCCAATATTTGCATCATGACTTCTCTTGCTGTTTGCTGTGGGGATGATAGCAATAGTAATATGTTATTGTTTAGGTTCATATTTAGTTATTACTCAGGTTCTTATATAATTTATATTTCTACAATTTATTGCCTATAGATAGACATATATAATTAAATGAAATTATTGAGAAAAAATATTCATTCATAAATGTTTTCAGTTGGAACAAATAGTGAGAGACTATCGTTATTATTAACTTCTTGTACAAGGGAATTTGTTTTTTTCTAGAAGTTTTGTTTGAGCGATCCACAAAGCTTGCATCAGATTGTGCATTGCAAGTCCTCAATCATCTCTGCTATTCTGAATTGCCAAAATGGAAAGGAAAATATTATAGTGATACTATATGCAATGGCTTCATAATAAGAAAGCAACATGGTTTTATCAACAGTGATGCACTTGCACCTCTCTTTCTTTCAACCAAATGGTTTTCCTTTGCCTGTGATCCGTTTAATTTCTGTTAATAGATGGGGGAATACCCCACTTGATGAAGCTCGTGTAGGCGGCGATAAGAATCTTATCAAGTTGCTTGAGGCTGCAAGAATTTCTCAGATGTCTGAGTTCTTTGATTGTCCTGGCCAGATAAAAGGTACTGCTTTAATTTCATTTATTTCTTGTCATTTTGATTCTATTTATTGCTAAAACATGTCCTTTTCTTGACTCTCGGTACAATCTTGTTGTACCCAAAGTGCCAGGCTATTCTCAATAACATCCACGACATGATGCGAATGATATGGAATTCCCAGTTACAGCAGTATTTTTAAAAGTTGTATGAGTTGGACATAAACTGTACTGTAGAATGATAATGGCCTTTGTTCCCTAATCTTTATACACCAAGAAAGAAAGAAAGCAAAAAACATAATTACTGCTTTATCTTAGTTCTGTAGAACCAAAATCTTTGTCCACTATTTGCCATTTTCCATTTCTTTATAGTCCAATTCATTCCCCAGTTTTTCTATCATTCAATTGAGATATTCAAGAAAGAAACTGGATCTTTCTATTAAAATATCACCGATTAATTTAATTACCACCAAAATGGGCTATTATAATAAGCTAAGACTTGGGAAGCCTTAAGCCCAAAGTTGGACGTCCAAGCCCACATTCTAGATTACTCCACATTACTCCACCCAAAAGATATTTTGTATAATGGTTGAGATCGTCCAAGCCCACCATTCTAGATTACTTCCACATTACATCCACCCAAAAGATATTTTGTTTATAATGTCAAACATAGTTTCTAGAATTTTTATGTAACTAAATCGTTCCATTTTTGTAGAACAAATCTTAGCCGTTACATTGAGGAGGTGGAAATGCCTATAAATTACACCCTCACCTCAATATTGTAAAAAACCAAGGCAACACCAAGCAAAAACCAACGTAAGTAATTTCATTTCCTTAAGCTTTGTGAATGGTTTGTTTTCTCTAATTAATAGCATATTATTTGGTGTTGTGTTAGTATTTTTTTGGATTTGCCATCTTATCCCGTTATTATTTTTGGTGTTATAAAAATTATTAATCAATCTTGGAGTTTTATCATTGCGCTGGTATCCAACAAGTTATGGTATTCAGAGCTTGGCATGTGGTAGGTAGGTTGTTGTATAGTCTTTGGTATTTTTGTGGTGATTTTCATTTACAAGTGTTAGAGTATCAATTACTCTGCTGGAATAACAAGTCGGAGACTGTTGTTAATGCAAGATTCACAAGCAAGGATTGTGATCTTATTGGTCAAGGACCATTGGTGACATTTAGTTAGTGTCAGGAACACCCGTACTGTATGCAGAATTTTTCTGGGAGTTAGCTAATAGCATCGAGAGCTTAAATTAGCCAACAATTACGAGAAATGGAGAGTACCCGTATGAGATATTATTCTCAATAGGGTCAAGACTTATGGGATATCGTTGGCGGGAGATAATATACTACACCACCAGTCTTGGGACTGCGACAGCTCTGAAGAGATGGGAGACAAAATGCGGGAAGGCGCATGTTATGTGCTGACAGTTGCAGTAGAAGATGCAGCAGATGCAACGGATCAAAGTCGGCCCTAAAAACACCAAAGGAAGCATGCCACATTCTTCAACTGCTTTCGCAAGAAGAACGAAGCAAAATTTGCAAATGGGCTCGAAACATGAGTTATTCTCAACTCCAACAGAACCTCACTGTAAGTTCAATACTTTTCTAAAGTAAAATTCTTTATGTGAGGAGATTTCGAAATTAGATTCCAGACAACGAGTCAATGAGACAAGGATTGCAGGAGGATCATCATCCATGGTTCTAAGACCTGAATTTTCTAAGGGTCTTGTGAACTTGCTACTCGTGGTTGGGCTACACAACCAACCTTAGACGAGTAGAGATATCTTGTCCAATGAAGAGACTTTAGACGGGAAAAAAAATGATCTAAGTAGCTTTTTGAAGGATGATGAGAAAGCTCTCAGAAAGCTCTCTTTGCTAAAAAGAGGGGATTTCGAAATGTTGCGAGAGTAGATGGTTGAAAAGAAAGGAGCAATCAACAAGGATGGAGAAAGCAAAAGTGGAGACCATCACAGCAAGGGAGCCACTTAAAATCCCATTCTACCCCAACCGGGTTTGGTCCAACTCGACTCAACTCGACTACTCGACTCTATGCTAAGACTCGACTCGATAGGATGTCACACATTTCGCCCGAGAATGTGAAAGCAAATGAGTACAAGGAAACATAGCATCAACCCAGAACAAGCAACAAAGTGAAGAGGAATGGGATATTCACACTTTCTTTGTTCAGGAGGAAGAATATTTGCCACAGAAGCCAGTAGAGACGATGATGAAAGGACCCGAACAAGAGTTGTCATTAATATCTGTAAGTGATAGAATCAACTATGATGATAGTTGGATAGTTGATTCTGGAAGTTCTAATCACATAACAGGAAACAAGGAGAAATTATCAGATGTATCCGATTATGATGAAGGTCGTGTTGTACTCACAACAAATAATATGAGATTGCCAATAGCTCACATTGGAAAGACAACCATTGTTTCTCCCTCCAGTAAGGAGAAACTGGAGTTACAGATGGTTTACCATGTGCCAAGGTGCCATAAGATGAAGAAAGACTGCTCTCTGTATCACAAAGTAGCAAAGTGCGTAAATTATGTGGTGTTCGGGTCCTGATAATGTGAAGTTTTATCGACCTAACAATGTAAGTTGGAGATCCGTCATTGGAAAGACGCGAGTAGAATCATTCTCGTCTGTCAGCACAGATAGCCTATGTTGACAGAACAAGTGAGAGAGTGAGACGAGCTGACCTTGTGGCATGCTCGCTGGGCACATGTTAGTTATCACATCACTTAAGGTGATGATGAAGACGTCCATGCTTAAATGTCTTCCTCAAGTTGGAATGCGAAAGAACTATATGTGTTGGATGCCAATGAAAAGCCACCAACTCCCCCTATTGAAAAAAGTCAAAATCATAGAGCCAAGGTGCACGCATTGGAGTTAATACTTAAATGTGCTTGGACGGATCAAGCAACTACATAACAGTAATATGAAGTGCATGATTAACTTTCACTTCGATGACGTACTCGTAGATATGTTTGGGTAAGATTCATGTAGAGAATGGAGCTTTTTGAAAATTCAATAGCTTTCAAGAAGATAAAGTTGAAAAAAGAAGTGTGATAATTATAATGCTTCGCCACCGGACAATGGTGGATGAGTACAAAAACGTCTTGAAGAGATTCAACTAAATTTGGCTAAGAGCAGGCATTCGAAGGCAATCACATGTCCAAGAACACCGCAGCGAATGGAGTTTGCTGATGAGAAAGAATCGACACCTGGTAGGAGAATTTGTAGGAGTTTGGTCCATGCGAAGATGTGCCAGCTGATTGTTGGGCAGAGTGCAATGAAACAGTTGTGTATGTCACCACAGACTACCTCAAGCAAGATTGGATTTTACATCCCCAGTTCCAGAAGAGCTGTGAAACATTTAACCAATTGTAAGTCACTTTTTCCCGCGTTTTGGATGCAATGTGTGTATGTCTATCGTTTTTCGGATGAACTTCCGAAGCCAAGTTTGACAAAAAAGCATCCTGCATATTCGTTGGTTATGATTAGCAAAGAAAAGCTAGAAGAATGTTGAATACCTAACTAACAAGTGTCATATTTCACGAAATGTGGTCTTTGATGAGACATCATCTTGGTGGTCATCTCAAGCAACCCTACTACCAGACTCAAAAGAAATTCAAGAAAAAGTTAAAAAGAAGATAAGAGAGGGAGAGTTCATCCCAGAGAAAGGTCAAGCTGAGCCATTCAGACATCAAGAGAAATCGAAGAGCCCATGGAAGATAGGTGCATACGAACAACAGCAGCCAAGTTAAGAAGAACAAGATCCAGATTATCCTCCACTTCGACGATCGAGTCGAGAAAGAAGGCCTAATCCAAAATATGCAAATGCTGCTATAGCAGAGATAAAGGAGCCAACAACTTATGAAGAAGCATCAAAGAAGATCAAAGAGATGGAGTGGACTACTGCAATGGAAAAGAAATTGCTGCTTTGGAGGAAAATCCAACCATGGGAAATTAGTGCCACCAAAAAGATGCCAGAACCTATCCTCTTGCAAATGGGTCTAACAAAAATCAACTCGCTCGGATGGATCATTGAGCCGATACAAAAGCTGTGAATACTCATTTTGAGGCTCCAAAAAAGCCCTTTTTTCCAAGGACTGCAAACAGTCCGCCGGACCGGTAGCCCATTCGAAAAAGGTTCACCGAAATATAACCAATAATGGTACTTGAAACTCACGAAAATTAGCGAGGATCGCGGAACTGGTCTGTAATAATTTTTCTAGAGGTAACGAAACCCCGAAAATAGCTTTTGGACGAAAGTTAGCAACCCGCCCGGCCACGGCGGCGGCAGCCGCCGCACATCCACACGGCGCGGCGCGCCCTACGCGCGGCAAGCTGCCGCCCTCCTCACCCAGCCGGTTTTTTTCCCCTATAAAAACAGCTCCCGGTTCACTTTTTTAAACCCACTCAAGTCTGTGTTGCGGACGCTCCTATCTCCCCTACCTTCCTTGCGATTCCTTTTTTACCTGCTTTTCTGCATTTAGTACTAGGCTTTTATTACTTCTGCTGTTGTTATATTGGCCACTTAATTAAATTAATTATTAATAATTCCCCAAGACGAGGAGCTTAAATTCCGGAGTTTTTCCAAGCAAGCTAAGAAAGCGTCGTCGAGTTAACTCAGGAAAATAAACGAAATCTGCGTCATTTAATTTTAGCCATTCCAATGCATATCTTCTTCTACTCCATTTCTGAATTAACTGTTCTCAAAATGCATTCCCAACGGTTCCATTGAGAGGGGTGGCAAATAAAATTTGCCTTTATAATATGATTAGCTTTTTTAAATGCCCGTTAATCAATAATCGTGGGTGTTAAAGCCTTAAATTCGACAATATTGGCCTAAGTATCTACGTCAATTAATTGATAATGGTATAATCGCCTTTATTTTTAAACAGTCCGGCTTAAGTCCCAATTAATCAATAATTGTGCTAAATAGCGCTTAATTAAAACAATTTTTTTTTGGCAAGAAATTGCCCTTACATTGCAATTCAATTGATCACTTTCGGCAAAACAAATTGCCTATAGTAGATCAATCATTTTTAGCGACAAATCGCTTAAATCGAAGTTTTGGCAAAATCCATTCGAATTAATCAAATCTTTTGTGCTAAAAGCCTTAAATGCCACTCATTTTGGCGATAATCGCCCAATCAACACCTTTTGGCAAACAAACTGCCTAAACAACTTATGTTGGGCTAAAAGCCTGTCAAATAATCAATTTGGCGACAATTCGCCTAAATTACTCGGACTTTGGCAATAATTGGCCTAAATCAATCTTGTTGGCTAAAAGCAACACTTCCTTTTGGCAACAAACGCCTCAACAAATCAATCAATTCTTTGGCAAAATGCCTAAACAAAATGCACGAAGCATGCAC